GCAGCTGCAACCAGCCTAGACTTATTTCAGTAACTGAGGTTTATCCCAGAGGGGATTATTGCTAACTGAAAAAAAAACACGAAGTGTTACAATAGAATACTAGAAAACAATGTAAACACCCACTCCTACCAGCTCTTCTCCCCCTAAGCTAGGGTGGATGTGGCCTGGCTGCAGGAGGCCAGGCACCTGTGCCTCACCCTCCCTGGTGGGCTGGAAGGAAGGGACCCTCACCATCTCATGGCAGGCGCGGCTCTTGAGGGCCATGGACCCATACTTGCTGTAGCACGTCTCCCCGCTGTTCCCTCCCAGCACAGCCATGTCAGTGCAGGTGACACAGAGCAGCCCTGTGGGGAGGGGCGGGCGGTGAAGACCCTCCAGACACTCAGCCTGCCCTGCCCTGCCAGCCCAGCCTTACCTCCTTCGCTCACTGCCTGAACAGCTGCGTCCAGGAAGGGGGCAGGGCTGCCGTAGGGGTCCAGGTCTATCACGTCAAAACGCTCAGACACCTTCTGGTGCTGGTACATCAGCATCCTAGCACAAGAGAGCAGCTCCTCAGCTCCCCACCCCAAGCACTTGCTCTGCCTCTACATGTATGAATTCCTACAGTGCAGTGGCCTTGAGCTCAGGGGCCAGTTCTCCAGGTTCAGGCCCTGACTTGTCCATTTGGTTTTGTGGGGTCTTTCTGTTTTGTTTTTCTTGAGTTTCACCATGTAGCCCAGGCTGGCCTTGAACTAGCAATGATCCTCCTGCTTCGGTCTCCCAAGTGCTGGCATTACAGGTATGTGCCTCAGTGTCCGCTTGGCCATTTGTTAGCTGCATGATTTTCCCCCCAGACAGGACTCAGTCAGCCTAATGAGGTACACGTGCTAATTGGCTAAGGCAGAAAAATTGCCAAGTATGAGGCCAGCCTGGGGAACTTACAGCCTATCTCTAAAAAAAAAAAAAAAAAAGGGCTAGCCGTGTAGCTTGGTGGTAGAGTGCTTTATCCAGCATGCATGCGGTTCAATCCCCAGCACCAACAAAAACAAAACAAACAAAACTCTAGCCTACTCATCTAGAACCTTGACAGTGATAACAGCATACAATAACATAGGACATACAGTTGGTCTTTCCTATCCATAAACAGGTGGGTTGTAGTTTGAAGCCAGCCTGGACTACACAGTGAGCTCAAGGCCAGGCCAGCCTGAGCTACTTAACAAGACTCATTTCAAAAAGGAAAAAAAACAAAACTGGGTGTAGTGGCACACACCTGTAATCCCAGCACTTAGGAGGCTGAGGCGAGGGGATCATTTTGAGTTCGAGGCTAGCCTGAGCTACATGGTGAGACCCTATCTCAAAAAAACAAACAAACAAAAAGCCAAAAGACTTGGAGGGAAACACTTCTTAGAATATGTCTCCACCTTGGCTACATTGATTTCTGCCAAGATTTGGACTACAAATTTTTATCTATTATTTAAGTATCACTGTGACTCCTATAAAACTACTGTTCTTTGACATAGAAGGCAGTTAGGGTCCCAAACAGCAAAGCCAGTCTCCCAAGGTTGTATTTTGAAAAAAGCCAGAATTTGACCCTAGGCAGCCTTACCCCGGAGTGTACCTTCCATCACTAGGCAGCGCTGCCGAGAACCTACCGGGCGTCTGCCTGGCTGGGCTGCACCAGATGGGCCACATCATTGAGCTTCACATTACAGCGCATGAGATCCACCGCTCGGGCAGAGGCATCATTGGCAATCACAGACTGGAGCCCAGGTACCTCTCGGGCAAAGCGAATAGAACGGAGGCCGGATGCTGCTAGGCCCTCCAGCACCCGCAGGCCTTCCTGTCGGAGTAAGCAAGGATACTCACTTAGATCCATACTTCCATCCTCTTCTGGGCCCCAGAGTCCACCATCCGCCTCTTCTACCTCTCCCTACTCCAGGAGCTCTCTGTCTCTTATCACTCACCGGGTTCCAGGGCTGCCACCTCCTTCTCTTAAACCTTACCTCGCAGATCTCCCCAACAGCGGCTGTTCGAGGTTTGTCTCCAGGGACCAGGTTTTCATCCTCTTTTGGTTCAACTTTGTCTTTCTCTTGCTCTGACAAGTCCACAACCACTTTCTGGATGTCCTCCTCCCCTGGCACCTTGACTACAGCCACCAAAGACACAAGTCAGGAGGTATCAATGCTGCCCCTCCCCCAAAACCTTTTCATATTCAGAATACTGAAGTTTCAGGAAAGGAAGTCTCTCCCAGAACCCAAGGGTTAAGGTTCAAGGGGAAAAGGCTATGTGGCTGGAACCTGTCTGGATTGGGGGGGAGGGGTGCAGAGAGAGGGTTTGGTTGATTTTCCCTCCCCGAGAAGCCTGGGTCTCCACTCACTCTGGATTCCTTTGGCCCCAAGCTGAATTCGAGCAAACTCGGTGATCACAGCACACCTGGCAGGAGATGGTGGGTAAGCCTGTATTCCTAGTAACAGGTCTACTCCCTTGAAGTCCTCCTCCACAAGGGTACTTCCGTTGCCCTTCCTCAAGGTTGACGCCCCACCCTGACCCTCTCAGGTCACCTCCTGTGGCCCCAGCATTGTAAATTCTAAAGAGCTGCCCCACCTACATAGTTGAGATGTTAAATGCAAAAATCTGCCTTCAGATTTCCAGAATTCAGAACATCTAATGACCTTTGTAACTCCTTTTAATTCTGTCCATCAACTCACACAAAAAATAATAGCTGTGAGGTGTACCCTGCACAAAAGCAACGCTTGTCTAGAAAGAACTACAGGAGCCAACCGCAGGCCAAACTCAAATGAGATGCTGCCAAGTACAAAAGAAACACACCAGGAAGATGAGAACCCCACTGAGTAAGTACTCTTCCGGCCCAGTTTCTCCTTTCCCTCCCTACAGAGCCCTCTGTCTCCCTAGCCACCCCCTCCCCATGGAGCTTTGAGGTTAAGCCCCTCCCTTTTCCAAGTTGCCGGCTCTTGAATGGACATAATTCTTTCCAACTCCAGTGTCACTAAAAGGCAGCTGCAACCAGCCTAGACTTATTTCAGTAACATCCTCAGACTCACTGATCCACTCCCCCTCTGCCAGGCTGACCCCTGACCCTCACGTGAGGTCCCGATTGAACTCCTGCACTGGATTGTAGAAGACCTCGTTGGCGCTGGGGAAGACGATCTTAGCGGCCCCCTCGGTGACTATAGTCTCCTGGGCCGCAGGTGGGCGCTCTTCTCCGCGAGACCCACCGCCATTCTCCATCGCTCCTGGGTTCGGCAGCCCTTGGGGCTGCCCCTCCATAAACTGGGCTCTAGAGATTCTTCGAGCAGAGCGGAGAGTGAGGTTTAGCCACAGAACGGCCCTCCCAAGGGACATCCACGGACGCCTCTGCCCGCCGAACCTAGTTAAAGGGGCCGAGGAGGGTAGAGAAAGAGGATCAGACAACTGCATTCCAGAGCAGGATGGCCTACACAACTATAGAGACTAAGGAAACCCAGTGGATTCAGGAAACCTATACTCTCCGTTTTCAGTAGCACTGATCCCTAAGAAGCCGGAAGCGTCCGGACGGGACCGCCACCTGTCTATATTCCTCCCAGAACCACCCAGGTTCTGCTCACCTTCTCCGCACTGAAAAACCGAACTACTCTCGGTGCACGTTTCTCGGATTAGGACCTGGGCGTCGCCATATTGTCAGGGGATCACGTGATAGGATTTAGCCAACCAATGACTCGACTCACGGTGGGCGACAGCAATCAAAATTCACCCCAAAAAAGCCCTGCGTATTCTGTGCGTGTGACCTTAAAATACAGTAGCTCTTCTCGGAGACACGTAATTGGTCCTATTTAACGGTAGAGGATCTTGTGGCTCAGAAAAGGGGCAGTAAGCAGAGGAACTCAACACCTGTTGATGCCTCCTGTCCGCTGGGTGCTATATACACATCATTTCAGAATACTCTGCAAGAGTAAAACAGATTCTGGAACCGGATTTCTAGGCTTGAATCCTATTCCCACCACATGGTCTGGGCAAGTTATTTACACTTTTGGGCCCTCACTTTCCTTACTTGTTAAATCAGAGTTGTAGGCTCCCGAGGATGAGCAAGGCTTAAGCGACAGAATGTCTAGGCGGTGTGCTAAGCAGCGGTTCTAGCACAGAAACAGTTCAGTAGCTCCTAACCAATGCGCGAAGGCAGGAGTGGGCAGCCCCCAGCCGCGTGGGTTGCAGCTCTCCTTGCTATGCTCTTAACTCTGCTTAAGTTTCTTTTTGGAAAATGGGCGGAACTTTTTAACGTGTTACGGGTTGTGAATGAGTTGCGGCAGGTAAAATGCTAGGTAAACTGGCATCGCTTAAGTATCCTAAAAGTCTTAATTTTTACTGTTATTTTTTAAGCCTAGGTTTAAATCGTGGAGGCACCACTTCCTTGCTGTGTGATCTCGAGCAAGTTTCCTGTCTCTCTGTGCAACTAGCTACTTCCCACAAAGAGCTGACAAACTGCCTGGCGCAACAAATAGCATCATTACTGTTTTTATCCCACAGGAAACTAAAGTTCGGGAAGGCAGAGCGACTTGCCTCTAGGTCGCAGGACTAGAAGATGGAGGGACAGGAGTTCGAGCTAGTTAGTCTGCAGAACCAAGGTACTGTACTGGCCAGGACCCCGAGGGGGCGCAGGAGGGAGGAGACGGAGCCGGTAAGCAGGGGCGCGCTCGGAGCTCGGCTGGCCGGGCCTAGGGGCGGGGCCTACGGGGCGGTATGTAGGCGGAGCCTCGGCCGTTTCTTTCCGGCCCGGCTGCGGCGCGGCGTGCGCTTGCTCGGCGCTCGGCTGGAGCGGCCTGGCCCACAATGAATGGCCGCCGCGGCTAACGCTGTTGCTGAGGCGGAGGCCGCGGAGGCGGAGGCCGAGGCCCCGGCGCAGGGGGGCGCGCC